TATATATATATATATTTATATATATATATATATATATAATATATATATATATATATATATATATATATATATATATATATATATATATATATATATATATATATATATATATATATATATATATATATATATATATATATATATATATATATATATATATATATATATATATATATATATATATATATATATATATATATATATATATATATATATATATATATATATATATATATATATATATATATATATATATATATATATATATATATATATATATATATATATATATATATATATATATATATATATATATATATATATATATATATATATATGTATGTATGTAAAGGTTTAAATGGACATTTCATATAAACAGTTTAGAGAAAATGTCAGACAGGTGGGCCTTCAAAAATTGATGGGAGAAAGGTGGCCCCCGCAGTGAAAAAGGTTGAGAACCCCTGCCTTAGACTTCTTGGTTTAGTTTCTGCCTAATATTTACCAATTTTGAGTGCCAAGGCATTTATGTGCATCTGATTACTTAAAATAAATTTTGCTAAGATTTTAAACAAACTTTTTTCACATTTACATTATCTATAGAATTTTCAGGAACATTATGAATTTAATAAATTTTGGAATAAGGCTGTAAACATAATATAATATGAAAAAAGATAAGTGCAGTGAATAATTTCCAGATGCACTTAGTCCTAAATACACTAGTGTACACAGTAAAGTAACACAGACAAAATGTTTTATTTTATGATTCTAATGTTGGTCAAAAACATTATTATTATTATAATAGTTTTTATTAATGTTGGAAATAGTTTTCCTAATTAAATAATTTAATAGGAAAGTAATACCTAAACCTTTTTTTCCAAAGTTAGCTTTGCAATGACTGGAATATTAGAAACATCCAACTTTAAAATGTGTAATACTTCACAACATTTCTGTTTTTTTTGTTTTTGTTTTTATCAATAAACAGATTTGATATTCATAAGGGACTTATTTCAAAAACATCTTCAGTAAATAATAAATTACATCGTAGTGTATGGAACCTTGTTTCTAACACAAAAGTAATGCTTACAGCAAACTTTTATCTCACATTCCTAACCTTTTTTCCTTTGCGCTAAAAAGTTTATATCTTGCAATTCTGACATTTCTTCTCAGAAATCTTACAATCTAAAAAAGTCTCAACTCATTAAAGTCAGGATTATCCCACAACTGTCAAAATGCTGAAAAGCAGCAACTTCACAATTCTAAGAAAAATATAAGAATTGTGAGATATAAACATAAAACTGCAAATTTTTAGATTTGAGAAATCACATATCTATAAATTCTGCAAAAAAACAATATAAACTGCAATTTTGTAAAATAAATCACAATTCTAACTGCAAAACTGAGTTTATATCCTACAATTCAGATTTTCCTTTCACTAAAAAAATAGTCAGAATGCCTATAAACCTATAACATAAGCCTTAGCTACAAGAAAATAATTAATTGCAAGAAAAAAAATTTGAATTGTAAGAGAAGAGTACAGTGCTCAACACATACGAGTTCACAAATCTCTCTTTTAAATGAATATTTTCTATAGGAAGCATTTCAATAATATATTAGAGATGTATATATTAAATTAGTATACTGTACTGAAGGCCAATCTGGAGTTAATCCAACAAAACTTATGATAACAGTCCAGAAATGTGCATCTCAAATGTATATAATATTAAAAAATGTTAAATAAAAAGTAAAAAAAAAAAAAAAAAAAAGAGAAACAAAACATAAATAATATTTGTTGGAATTTTGTAGGTTTGTAATTTTTTTGCAACATTTTGCATGAATTCAAATGTAATTTCTTTCTATTTCTAAAATTTCTAAAATATTATTTTACAATATATATCTGTCTAATAAATCTGTTTTGTTCAAATGCACCAACCTAAGAAATTGATAAGAGTACTTAAATAAACTGAGCACTACATTTATAATGATAATAAAGAATTACCTTAACTGTTCTTTTATGTCATGATGAAACCAAGCCTCTGTGATAGTGAATGTAGCTGCAGGCCTAGCTGTGCTCTGCTGTGTCCATCAGCTGCTGGAGGTCAGGACTCTCCTCCAAGAGCCTCAAACTCAAAAAAACTGGTTGAGTTTGAGAAGCCGAAGGGCTCTGCATTTCCTCATAAGGGTCTCTCCTCATAGTCAGACCCACATTCTCCGCGTTTAGTCGCTTGTTTTCCTCCAGCAACCTCTTGTTGTCCATAAGCAGGACAAGCACCAGCCTCCACAGGTCAGCAATGGCCGTGCTCTGCTCCTCCAGCCGGGTCTTGTCATCTTTGGCGGTCTTGCAGCCCAGAACTGAAGAGGAGGGTCTGGCAGAGCTTACCAGGAGCTCTCCTTTAAGTTGAGTCTGCCTGCAGCTCATCTGGATCAGTCTCTGCTGCTGGAGGTGTCTGTCTCTTTGGAGCTCTAAAGACAGGCGTACCTGAATTATCACAAAAACACAGCAGCTCTCAAAATGACTTTACTGGAGTTTGTGCTGTACATCACAGAACAAGTGTTTCTTTCTCTTTAGCTGTAGATTAAAAAGTACACAGGAGATGTTTTGAAGTGTGGTGTTTCACATTTTGTCTAGTATAAGAATGATGGAATTATGGGTATATTTTGCATCTCTGAGATAAACCTTAAAGACTATAGAACACACAAGATATGTCACCCATATAGTTTTGAATAGACAAAAGGGTAACAGTCAATATGGGAAATGAGGCCCCACCTTCTGGTACAAGAGCCAATCAGCGATCACTGTAGACTGACAATTCTCTGCGGGCGGAGCTCGGACCAGACTTGAGTTTCTGCAGATTTTGTTTGATTCGAAAGTTAAGAAATGAAACTAAAGACATAGATGTTGTTTAATTTCATTCTTAATTCCTAATATAAGTCTAATCATAAGCTTGGCAAGCAGTTTTGGAGAATTTGTTGTTTCCCCATTCAAACAGAAAGTCACAGCATACTGCCCGAGAGGCGTTTCAAAGATGGCCGCTAAATTGCCTTAAATGAAGTTTATGTATAAACTATGTTCCAGACGATCATGTGATTATGACTGAACACGGCTGGTTCTACATTAGCTATGTATGATCCACCAATCAAGCCAGTCCTAACCCACTATAAAGAGCCAGGGTTTTTCACTACAGCCATCTTCGATTTGAAGGGGGGCTTCAACCCTTACTTCTCCACCTTTCCCTCCATAGAGCGGCACGGTGGCCCAGTGGTTATCACTGTTGCCTCACAGAATGTCACCGATTCTAGTCCTTTAACAGGCTGGCTGTTGTTTCTGTGTGTAGTTTGCATGTTCTTCCCATGCAGGGCTCTCTCCAGGGTCAGCATGACAAACTTGCTTATAATCAATCATCAGCTAAGTGTAAACTTTTTAAAGAGACTTTGTATATGTTCAATTATTAAAAAACTACTTTAATAAACAGTTTGGAATAACACAAATTATAATAAGTTATAGGCTTTGAAAAATGCTTGAAATGTACCTGCAATTCTGAAATGAGTCATGAATTCAGGTGAGGTGCACTAATGTACACATAAGCCATATTGCTTTACTTGGTATTATGACATTTTAAGAAATGTTGAAAACACCAGCCACTGACAGTAGTATAAAAAAGAACACTAGTAAAATTAATGGTTACTAGTTTGTGTTCAACCGAGACAAAAAACTATGGGGGGAAAAAAAGGTTTTAAACTAGTGGAAGTTAAGTAAATGACAACAGAATTTTCATATTTTTGTGAACTATCCCTTTAATATATTCTAGCTTAATGTTATTATTCATTCATTCATTCATTCATTTTCCTTCAGCTTAGTCCCTTATTTATCAGGGGTCACCACAGCGGGATGAACTCCCAACTACACCAGCATAAGTTTTAAGCAGTGAATGCCCTTCCAACTGCAACCCAGTACTGGGAAACACCCATCTTCTCTCTTATTTAAACACGCAATCATACACTACTGCCCATTTAGATCATGCAATTCACTTATACCGCATGTATTTGGACTGTGGGAAAAACTGGAGCACCCGAAATGCTCCTCACAGAGATGCCAATTGGCCCAGCTGGGACTTAAACCAGCGACCTTCTTGCTGTGAGGCAACAGTGCTAACCACTGAGCCCCCATGCTGACTAATATTATTATTAATATTATTATCATAATTATTATTTATCGGACTCACCTAACTAAAAAAATGTATGTTTCTTTTTCTTCTTACAACATAAACAATTACTACATGATAAGGGTCAAAAATTATAATAAAAAATAAATAAAACTAAATCATCTCGAGATCATCTTTGTTATATTTGGTCCTCAAAAATAACCAAAGAAATGTGACCAGTACATCTTTATACTACAAATGTCCATTAAGTAGCTCAACATGTGATGAATTTGACACATATTACATATTATGCACAAATCCATTCTTTACATTTTATTCCAATAATAGTAGAGAAAATATGAGTAAACTTTCTCCAGATTCCATCTAGGTTTATTTAAAGCAGGGGTGCCCAAACTCTTTTCATGAAGGGCCAAAACTCTAATTTGATTACGGCTAGTGGGCCGAAGGTAAATCAGTTAAGTAGTTGCCATGGATACATTTCTAACTTATTTAATGATAATTAAAATTACTAGAAAACACTGCTTTATGTTAACTAATACAGTATTTTTTACATTGTACAATGACCTTATTACAGTAAAAACAAAATCTAATTAATAACAGAATTTCTCTAGATTTTGCCTTGATTTGCTTCTGCATAGTCCTCTATCTGTCGAGTGACAGTATTTACATTTTTAAAAATGTAATTAATTTACAACATTTGATTGAAACATTTCATTTCAGTTTGATTTTTTGTAGCTCAGCAATAACACTAACAAAAAAGATTACATCAAATTAGATTTCTGTGTCAATCTCCTCCATTAATCTCACTCTCATCTCAGTTGGGATGGTGGGCCAAATCAAACATTCCAATGGGCCAACTTTGGCCCGTGGGCTCTATTTTGGGCATCTCTGATTTAGAATTTTGTGTGACATATTCAACTATTTTCATACTTGAACTACTCAAAAACACATTTAATGAAATATTTTGCGCCTCTTTCTAATCAAACACACCAGAAATAACTCATCAGACTGCAGATATCCAGGCTGTTTCTCAATTACAAGAACGCAGAGAAAGGACTAACGTTATTGTGTAGACCGCTCTTGCCAGGTCACCTCGGAAGAACAAACTCAGGAGATCACGAGAACAGAGAACGTGTCCTGTGAGAAATAAGATGCTGCGTTCTTCCTGATGGTCACATGACCTTTACATGTTTTTAACGGAAAACTATCTAAGCATTATAGCATTTATACAACAATTTATTGTTGTCCTCCTTTTCAATATATATGTATCATGCACAAAACCTTACAAATATACATTGCACAAGGCAAATAACACAGACTTTAATAAGAATTTCAGAAAATAAACACCCTTAATGTGTTTATGCCTTTATTAATATTTTTATGGTAATTTTTACTTTCACTGTCTCATTTAAGGAAACTCCTGAGATAAATAAGTTATACCTCTGAACTTTAATAATAAACCCATATGTAATGCTGCGCTTCCAACCTCCTTTATTCAGTAACAATGACTTCTGAGACTTCTCGAGCAAGTTTTACGCTCAAGTCTGCATCGGTGCATCCTAGTTATCAAGAACACATCCAGGAACTTTCACGTGTCCTCCGTTCTTGCCGACTTGATTTTGGAATTGAACTTTGGCAGTTGATGATGAAGTCGTTACATGAGAACACGAGGACGCAAGATCGCTGAAGAATGCATATTGAGAAACAGCCCCAGACTCTAGAACAGTGTTGCCTAGTCTATAAGACCAACAGAAACGGCGCCCTACTGCAATGGAGACACACTTGCTGTCTCAAACACGTCTTACCTGTTGACTCTGTGTCATTGATGAAGCTTCTTTCAACAGCTCTGAGCAGAGAGAGAAACAGATTCAGTGACTCTTTTGTTTTTAATGACTGTTTCCCAACCTCTAATTATGTGTGGATGGTTTGAGGTGGGAGAAAAAAAGGATTCATTCCTGTACCTGCTGCTTCTTGATGGCACTCAATCGCCTCCTCATATTTTCCTTTCATCACCAACTGATCTGCCCTTCGGCCGTAATGATGAGCCTGTAGAAAAGAACACGGTCAAAAATTCTGGAGAAAAAGACATTACTAACAGGAAAGACAGTTCACTCAAAAATGTCAATTTACTCACACACAAGTGCTTCCAAGCCTGTTTGCTTTTCTGTTGAACGGGGAGTAAGCTATTTTGAAGAATGCTGGAAACCAGTAACCATTGACTCCCATAGTGGGAAAAAAAATACTATGGACGTCAATGGTTATCAGTTTCTATACAACATTCTGAAAATTATCGAGTGAAGGTTGGGTAAATCTGATCAAATTTGCAGTTTTGGAAGAACTATCTAACTTTATATAAACAGACTCCTATTTTTTTAATGCTAAAGTCTTAATACAATGAGAAAAAAAAAAAACTGAACCCAAAACAGTATGTGGTATTTTTGGATTGCAAGACAAACTACATTGAGGTAAAGTAGGTTTTATATTCACACTTTCGCTCAGTGACAACTTCTGGCAAGCTCCCTATATTGTTTACCATGGTATTTGAATATTCGATCTGAAATGACATGCAAATATGACTTCAAAACAACATAAGCACTATTTATTTGACTGTGAACAATGTTGTACTTTGATAGTCATTAGCTGCTATTATGATTTCACTATTTATAATTTGCAAAAAAATACTTTTCTGAAATTATATTATTAAGGACAAAGTCCAAATTTGTGAATATAAAACCAATTTTAACTCAATAGAAAATACTGCAACCCAGAAACAATTGTGGACATATTTAACAGTGAGCCTATTAAGGTATCATTGTCACCATGTGCTAATTTAGTTTTTATTAACATTTAGTATAACCTTTATTAATATTTAACCTTATTTTTATTTTATATTAATCTGATTCATATATTAATGTTCAAGTTTTAGCATTTTTTAAAACTTTTTTTAACGTTAAACCAGGTATATCTCTTCAAATCTTCATACATTTGGCCCCATGGAAGTTCAGAACCAGCTTTTTTAAGTGTGACTTATTTGTCATTATATATATTTCTTTTTACATTTAAATTAATATAAAAATATATATAAAGGTAAAGTAGGTTTTATATTCGCACGTTCGTTCATTTAGCAGTCTCTATATCGTTTATCATGTTAATTTGAATATTCGATCGGAATTAGCATGCAAGTATGACTTCTCAACAACATCAGCACTATCTAATTCACAGTGAACAATGTTGTACTTTGATGGTCATTTGCTGATAATATGATTTCCCTATTTAGAATTAGCAAAGAATATTTTTCCGAAATTATATTATTAGGGAATAAAACCAAATTTACCTCTATGAATATTTTTAGTATTATGCTGTTTTCATAACAATTACTGAAATCATTTGAGTTATTTTTTTAATCACTTAGTAACGTTACAAAAAGTAAAACACTTTTTACTTAAGTAGTTAAAGAAATTTATAGTTATTTGTTTAGCTACAGTATAGGTAAATTAAAATTGACCTAAATACAGGACTGATGAGGGTTTAATTAAATTTTATAGTTTTCATTGACAAATTAAGGTGTTAATTACGTTAAACACAACATACTCAACATAGTTTAAACACGTAAAGCCAAAACATAAAAAAACGCGTAACGTGTTTATTTGTATTATCGTCAGTAACTAAGTTGACAGAACATTTTTTTTACATTTTATGCTATTCAAGATATCACTTACACGATTTAGAGGGCTGTCAATTACTTCCATTTCTATTTGAGCATGCGGTTTCGCCGTTTTTACAGTGGCAACTTCTTTATTTACACTTAGAAGATTAACCATAAACACGGCTGAACACCTTGCGTAACTTCTTGAGCGTCGTGTTTGTTTGTAGTGACGTGACACGTGCTGGAGAGCGGAAGTCTGAATGAATCCAAAGTGTATGACGACATCTGCTGGACAACACAAACTCAACCTCCAGCAATGGTAAAGCTTTAAAATAAATAACACTGTGAATCTTACAGTGTCTCTTTTCTATTGCACCCAGAGACTATATTTTATATGACCTTTTATACATCACTATGACAATGCTTTAAGATAGATTTAAAGTGTTTTTTTTTTGTCATTCATACCACCCCTGCCAAAATCTTTTGTTTTTTTTTTTAGTTTTGTTCTGTTGTCTATTTTTGTTGTCATATGGTTTATATCTTTTATGTAGGTTTTTGTATTACTGTTAAATGTTTCAATAAAAACATCTCTTATCACTATAAAAACAAACAACAACAAAAAACATGTTCGAAGTAGTTACACCTTAACCACAAATTCACCACGACTTTGCTTTACTAAACCATTACTATATTCGTAGTAACGTTATTTGTTCTTTAATTCACTTTTATATAAATGTTTTTAGAGGGAAGAGAGCAGAGTATCTCAACAGCAGCAGATTTTATTTAATCCAGTCAACAGACGTGTTTGAAACATGACAACTGTCAATGATTTTAATTAAGACCACGTATGTCACAACTGACAAATGTAAACTAGGCTTATCTGAATAATGTTATCATATTCAGAAAAATTAAAGCATCACCCCAAAATTATAATCTACTCACTTTTACTTACCCCCAGGTGATTACATTGTAATTCTCTTTAGTCTGTAAAAAGTAAAAAACACTAAAGAAAATATTTTGAAGAAAGCTGGAAAACTAACCATTGTCATCCATAGGAAAAACAAATAGTATGGAAGTCAATGGTTACAGGTTTCCAGCTTTCTTCAAAATATATTCTTTAGTGTTCACCGGAGTAAAGAAACCTATGGTAAGTAAATTTTCAATTTTGGGTGAACAGTCCCTTTAAGTACATGTAATTGTGGATTGTAACGTTTTAAAATACTCAAAATAAGATTACAGGTAGTTATTTTATCGATTACAGGATTACATATTACAGTTTATGCATGCTAAATGTCTTCTTTTTATCTAGTGGCATTTACTGGAATGAAAAAAGTTAACAAAACATATTCAAAACCTGGAAGACTTTGGCATTGCAATGTCCTTTTTATGTTAATTAACTAAATCTAAACTTTTTTTTTGTCAAACCAACTCCCTATAATAAGTTTCAGCTAAAGACTGTTCAGGACAAATGGGCATATTGAATGAGCTGTGAGTGAGTAAATTAACCATCCAAGTGTCAATGAAATAGTTCCCTCAGCCTACATTTTTGTGAAACATAAATTGCATTGCTCCGGGTGCATTTCATTGCATGTTTCAGATAGCAAATCCACTAGAGGGATGTGTTACTTAGGGTACATTTTGTTGTATTTTTTAGAAATATATCCTGTTTACATCCAGAAGGCAAAGCTTGTCAAACAGATCACCTTTACATTGATCTCTTTTATGGAACTGTGCTTTCATGAATTCAAACCAGAGCACTCTACATCACAAGTACAACACGGTACAAAGTGAGTCACAGAGCAAACTAACCACATCTGTAAAGTTGTCCATATGAAGAAAGACAGGTAGAAAACATATATTACTACAATTCATAGACAATAGCTATGTTTCCATCCAAAAATCCGAATTAACTTTATGCGCAAAAATGAATTATCGCATAAAAGCCGTGCGAATAAAGCAGCGTTTCCATCCAACGAGTCAAAGCGAACAAAAATGTCTCTTCCTGATTAACTGGTGCCAAATATCAACAGTAAAAAGGAACTTGCTGCAGTTGGAGAAGCTGCGTCACTCATTTTTTCATTTAAAAAAGGATCCTGACACGCAGTTAACACACGGTGGTAATTGAAGGTGTCAGACGCAGAGCACAGACTCTCTTGATTCTGGAGGTCATTAATGATATAATAACACTGATACTTAAATGGTAAGGCATTTTAGAATGACCAAAACAACAGTTTAGGTGTTTTACAGTATGCTCAGCCTGCTGGTTTGTCCATTTACACACATTTTCATTATCACATTACTCTTTTCACAAAATCACATGACCTTAATTCGCATACTGAAATTTGTGCAGTAAAAGTGTTTCCATCATAGTACATCTTTTTTTATCGAATAAAAAGTTTGTCCTGCTCAGTTATGCGCATAATTTTTATGCGCATTTTCAAAATGTATGCACATCATGACGTTTCCATCAACCGCTTTTTTATGCACATATGCAAAATGTGCATAAAAATAGGTGGATGAAAACATAGCTACTGTTAAGTTGTTTTGTGGTACTTATGTGGTGTTGTGCAAAGAAATGCATGAAAATTTGTAGATTGTTGATAATATGACCCTGTAAATATCATTAGTGTGAAAAGGAACAAAAATTGGTAGCGTCATATTGCCCCATAGTGTTCATTTTACCTAGAAACTGCAGTTAAATGTATGATGAAATGTGTTTTTGAGCTTTCACAAAGAACAGGGTTCAAACTAAATATTTCCAACGAGACTATGTTGAAATTAACATCAAATGTTAAATTTTCAGTGAATCTTCTGTTTAAATGCAAGGCTAAATGAGAAACCAAACAAGACACAGGTGAACATAATCAGTTTGCCAATGAGAAACCATAAAAACTAACTGAAAGACAGCCAGCAGGCACATGTCATAAGTAGGGCCAAACAGAATCTGCAGACATTTTTTGCTATTTTTGCTTTGGTAAAAATCTGCGGATTTCTGCGGAATTATTTTGGGAGTATCATAACTTAAACCTTAATATGTGAAATAAAAATTTGTATCTATTCTATTATTTAATGTGTAAAATGCAAATCCGGTTCGATTAACTTTATTTGGTAAACAAAGTAAGTCTCCCATATGATATATCTACTAAAAAACTGAAAATAATACTTTACAAACTATACATAAATCAGATGAATATTTTCACTTTAGTCAATAATGTTACTGTTATTAATTTAAAAACTGAATAAATATAGATTTACACACATTTACTCAAGTAAATTAACAGAAATAATGATGGGCTGAAAATCTGCAGAATTCTGCGCACACAGATTCCGTGCTGGCCTATAAGACATTAATATAAAGTGATATTTAGGCAGAGAATCAATACATCAGGGTATTTTGACGCTCAATAATGATGTCAAATGACGTTGATATTTGGTTGTTATTAGGTTGTGTTGGTAAGTGACCAAAATCCAACGTTGAGCTCACATCTTAACATACTGACATTTATTTATCAGGTATGGCAGCCAAAATCCAGTGTCAGATAGATGGCATAGTGGTATTATCCACACAACATCAAACTGTTACATCATTAGACGTTGAAATTTGGTTGTTTTTAGGTTGCGTAGGAAAGTGGCCAAATTTGCAACGTCTGTCCAATGTCGGACACTGATGACGGTCTGACGTTGGGTTCTGACATCAACCTGATTTTCATTTCCACCCAAAATGCAACATCCCACAACATTCTGACGCCATTTCGATGCCCTGTGCCTACTGGACAGTGGAACTGAAGAAAACACAACAAACACAAAGAGTCCATAAAGACAACCTAACCATAACATTAGTTTAACAAATTCAAAAATCCCACTATATTCCCTAGTCATTTTTCTCTCGAGTCGCTTTTTATTGGATATTTGTATCAATGATTTTGCCATTGAGTGTAATGCACTCTTGTTGGTTGATGTGGCTGTTTTATTGAATATGTAGGCTGAGGTCCAGCATTTGCACACTGGGGGAGGAGGTTTAGTCTTTGACCGTTCACAGAATCATTTTTGAAATGTTGAGCAATACTGCCGAACAGCTATATGTATAAGACACAACATTAACAACATCATCAGATTCATTCAAATGCCATCATTTGCATGATGATGTTCAAATACACACCGACTTCACCCAGACGAAGCGCATAAAGGCGAAGTCGACAGTGGTATTTCAGCTGGTCCATGTTGATTTTCCATCTAATGATCCTCTCCATGCTCCCGCTTTCTGTCTTTGTTTCTGGATGATGACATGGGCAATACCATCAAACTATAGGGCCTTGGTCATCCATCTTCCTGCTCTTTCCTCCTACGCATGGGCAATTTTGCGTGATGGGGGTTCACTGATCCCTGTGAAAAAAAAAATCTGGGAGCTTCTTATCCAGGAATACTTAGCTTGGGTTATTTTTGCATGCTTATGTCTGCTTAGAATTTCTTATTATTTATCAAGTTGTTCGAGATTACTGTAATATTGCATTTAATGAGTAATATTAATATAAGAATGATATGTGATATGCATTAAATATATATTCAACTAAGGAAAAACTGAAGAGACCACTATAAAATTCTCAGTATTGACTGGGTTTATTGGATGCGGGTTTGAGTAAAATATTCTGCAAGGGTCTGATAATGTTTATTACAATTTAAAAAACAAATATTGTCACTTAGAGCATTTATGTTATTTATAATTATTCAGTATATCAAATATCTTAATCTGTTGTGATTGAAAATAAGGGGTTTCAATCAGATATTGATTTCTTAACTTTTCTGAACTTAAAATATTAGGATTGCATATAGCATTACTGTAATATAAACACATTTGATTAGTAAATTTCAACATTTTTTATTTTACATTTGGATGAAATGCAGTTTACTGAACAAACTAAAATGACTGCTCTACTCAATCACATGATAAACAGTAACCCTATATGTAAAACAAAATAAAAAATCTACTTTTTAATAAAAAAAAAATGTAAATGACAAAAGCTCTTAAAAATGAATAAAAGGTAAACTAAAATAAAAATGAGAAATCTAAACAGCTAATTTAAAAAGTGCCATAATCTAATGCAGTGTTTCTCAACCACCAACACTGCATGTTTTGGATGTCTCCTTTCTCTTTTACACCCATTACAGGTCTTTCAATCGCTGATCTGATGATTTGAATGAGGTGGGTTTGGATATGGGGACATGGAAAAATGTGCAGAGCTGGTGGTCCTCGAGGAACATGGTTGAGAAACACTGCATACTAAAATTCAAAATAACTAATATAGAGATATTAAATTGATTATTAATATACTTATCTACATTTCTGTAATTTATTATTATTGATTTTAATATAATTTGTGTTCATATTAG